CAGGAGAATTCACAACCCATCCATCTGAGCCCATAGCACTTGTATCAGCTATCTCTCTTTGCAGTACAACAAAACAAAAGCTATGAAATCACCTTAGCATAGTGGTTAGCACAGGACAGAGGCTCCACAAACATCAGTTCTTACTGTTTTCTTTCCTTTTAAATCTAAAATGGCTGTATCAACATAATAGTCTATTGCTCAGATTCTTTCAAGAAAGGTGGCAAAGTGTAACAATAATCCTGAGAAAAAATGACCAGATCATCTGTTTTATTACCCTGACACACAGGCTTTGGGTGAATTCAGATTTCAGTGTGCTTTGTTCTAGTGTGCAAGTGTCAAAGATACTGACAATACACCTGGGAAACTGCCAGGTTCTTGCAGGCACCTGCCTCAGCAAAGCGAGTGAAGGCTCAAGTTCTTTTCACTTGCTCAGATGAGCAGCAGCCATGCAGGGTACTGCTCGTGTCCCAACCATGCTCAGGACTGGCAGTGCACCTGCACCTTTAATCAGGACAGATCTCTGAGAGGCTGGGGCAACCAACCGACAGTTACCAGCTGGAAGAACAGGGTAATTGCAGATAAACCTGCACACGGGGGTGGCAGAAGAAAAGCAAAAAGCCAAATGCATATTTTAGCCCTTTAGGATCTGTGACCAAGTCATGACAGGAATGATAATTTCCGTCAAAGTTTCAGTGCCTACTGTCAGAGGCCTGATGGAAACATACACACACAATGACCTTTGTTATTGCTCCATGTCGTAACTACTATGGCAACAAAACCTGACTACCTGCTATGTGTCCTATATTATTCCAAGCATCCCTCTGTTACCTCCAGCCTTTAGTAGCCCCATAAAGAGAAGGATGGTCCCCACTTCAGAGATGGACAAACTACTGCTTTGAGAAGTTAGAGAGTTGGCAAGTGACTGGAGCAGATGTTTAAAACCATGGCCCAGTCCATGACAACAGTGGACACGCAGCACGGGAGGGCCACAGATGTCACTGCGACGACCTTTAACAGCTATACACTTATTTTAATTGGTATTAGAAAAATATAACCAGCACAAGCCCATGATCTCATAAATATCAATGTTCCAGACAAAACTAAATCAAGTTGACTCACTGCTTTCATATTTTAAAAAGTTCACAGTATGAGTGGATTAGCAACTGCACTTAGAACATGCTACAGTATATCCACCCTCCCCACTTCTGATTCTTTCCTTCATTAGCTGTCACTGCCACTCTAAGTCAAAATGGTAAGAAAGCTCCTCCAGCGCCTCCAAAATGTACTAGCTCCCCACTTCTACTGTTTAATCATGTCTACATACACATAAAAGAACCCCTGTCAAAAGGCTACAATAACGTTCCCTGATTAAAAGGCAAGACAGGCATTTAAAATCCTTAACATCCACGTTCTTCTAATGACAGGAGAGGTAATAACTAACAGAAAATGGCACTCACAGGTAATTCATCTTTCTGGTTCCACACACCAGTGCACTGCCTCTGTTCGATCACAGCTTTGATATTAATTAAAGCTGGCAGAGCCACACAACCTGCTGAGAAACTGGGAAGGCAGAAGAGGAAATGTTAATGCCAGGCCAGGTGTCAGAAAGCTTGGTCCTAGGAAACGCCAACTCCTCCAGACTCCGTGCTATGTGTAGAGGATCCCGGCCATTGGATTCAAAGCATTACAAAGCCCACTATTTTGCGTGCGTGCACTCACACACACAGTCTTACAGTTTACAAAACCACCAGATTTAATAAGCTCTGCCTACCAGTCATTAATGGCATTTTTTTTTTAAATTATTTTATTTTATTTTATTTTTGGCTGCATTGGGTCTTTGTTGCTGTGCGTGGGCTTTCTCTAGTTGGGGCGAGCAGGAGCTACTCATCATTGCAGTGGCTGGGCTTCTCACTGCAGTGGCTTCTCTTGTTGCGGAGCACGGGCTCTAGGCACGCGGGCTTCAGTAGTTGTGGCTCACGAGCTCTAGAGTGCGGGCTCAGTAGTTGTGGTGCACAAGCTTAGTTGCTCCGCGGCATGTGGCATCTTCCTGCACCAGGGCTTGAGCCCGTGTCCCCTGCGTTGGCAGGCGGATTCTCAACTACTGTGCCACCAGGGAAGTCCATTAATGGCATTCTTAACATTAATGACACTCTGAAACATTTTCTTGCACAGTTCCTTCCAGACCCAGATCACCCCTGTACAGGGCAGAAGCACCTTTCTCATCTAGAAGTGCTGGTGGTCAGCTCTCCACTGAGTCCCCCTTCAGGACTGTCCTCATTTGGAGAAAGCGACCTGACCAGGGACACGTTCGATGACTGCTCCACCTGAGGATACAAAAGTTGCACCAATTTGGGACAACTCCACAGGCCACTGCAGCTCCAGAGCTCCACAGAGGTGGACTGAGGCCTCTGGTGAGACTGGATTACAGTCCAGCTTCTCCCTCTGCCTGACCCTGCTGCCTTCATTCCCCACAGGGGCTGATCCCAGCACACCTCCTGCACATGAGTCTCCGCTCATTTCAGAGTCTGTCCCAGAGAACCAGACCTGCAGCCCCACCACACCTTACAGGTAACTGCACGAGTCTGTCTCCTCCGTTCAGGTGGAGCCCCTGTGGAACACAGGCTGCGCCTTATTCATCTCTGTGTCCCACACATTGCCTGGCGCGTAGCAGGGATTCAAAACACTGGAGGAGCCAGATAAATAGAAGAGCTAAAAAGTTCTTTTTTCTTTTTTTTTTTTTTGGCTGCGCCGCAAGGGCACATGTAGGATCTCAGCTCCCCGACCAGGGATTGAACCCACGCCCCCTGCAGTGGAAGCAGAGTCCTAACCACTGGACCGCCAGGGAAGTCCCCAAAAAGTTATTTCTTAAAACTGGTTCTTAAACCTTTTGGATCTCAGGACCCCTTTACCGGATTAAACATTAAGGATCTCAAAGAGCATTTAGTTTTGTGGGTTATATCTATCATTATTTATTGTATTAGAAATTAAAACTAAGAATTAAAATATTGATTAATTCACTTAAAAATAAAAAACATGTTATAAATAACAGTCTCACAAAAAATAACTGTATTTTCCAAACCAAAAATAAACCTGTGAGAAGAGCAGCATTGTTTTACGTTTTTACAAATCTTTCTAATGTCTGGCTTAACAGAAGACAGCTGGATTCTTACGACTTCCTCTGCATTCAATCTGTTGCAATGTATTCATTTGGTTGAAGTAAGTGAAAAAAATCTAGCCTCACACAGATATGTAGTACTTAAACCACCTTTTCAGGTAACTGTGGATATTCTTCTTTAATGTCACACCAAAACTCAACAAATAGTAGTTTTGTTTTGTTTTGAATTTAGCTGCCCCGGGTCTTTGGTTGCAGCACGCAGAATCTTCAGTTGTAGCATGTGGAATCTTTAGTTGTGGCATGTGGGCTCTAGTTCCCTGACCAGGGACTGAACCCAGCTCCCCCCCCCCCACCTCGCTGCATTGGGAGCATGGAGTCTTAACCGCTGGACCACCAGGGAAGTCCCAACAAGTACTAGCTTTTTTTAAATGTTAGTTGGAAGGTGGAATCTGAATCCTTGCCATTGTACTTTTTGTACCCTGCTCCACTAAAATCCAATGGTCTCGTACTCTGAATGAATCTTTTACTCATGCATGATTTTGTGAGATCTTCACTGATCCCCCAAATGTTAGCACATTTCATTATGTAATATCAAAAAATTCAAATTCATTATTATTACCACCAATCTCATCAGAAATGTCTTTAAGCATTGGGGAACTGTCAAGCTTACAGTGGTCGGTTCAAGTTTTCCTAACTTTCTATTTTAGCTTGCAATCTTGAATTTTACCACTGTAGCAAAAGATACCACCAGTTGCTTTCCCTGACACAAGCTTACTTCATTCATCTGAATAAATATCTGCCAAAAACCTGAGTGTGAGTAACTATAGTCGGTCTGCTAAGACAGTAAAAGTAAAAACCGTGTTCAAGTAAAAACTGTGTTCCAGGAAAAAAGCAACTAGTTTTTAGCTCATAACTCAAACATTATACAGATGCTTTTTCTTGAGACAATCATCATACTGTCTCAGGATTTGGCATGAGCTGAAGTGCTTTATCTGAGCTCCCTATTTGGGCACACAGAATATTACAAAGATGTATACTCAAAGGTTGAAATTTAATAAAGTGAGTGATTTTTAACGTTTTGTCAAGAACATTCTTAAGTAAAACTAAAATATCTGCAAGTGTGTGGTGGATGAGGAATACAGCAAGTCCTTGTGGGGTTTGGGACCACTGCCCCGATCTGTGCTAAGGCTGGAGCAGTTTAACCCACAACGTGAACACAGTGGAAAAGGCTCTCAGAAACCCCCCAAAGGATCACAGACCACACTGAGAACTAGGTCACTGCCAATTGTGACGATCTCTTGAAATACCAACTGTACCCTTCTGCAGAAAGACACATGTTTTCTCAGCTTTAAACGTCAAGAACTAGACAACAGATTAAGCAGAACTAACCAATGCAACGCACATTTCAATAACAGGACAATTTCCATACCTGACACTGAGCGGGGACTCCACGGAGAGCCCCAGGAGGGCACAGGCATCCCGTGTAAAGATGTCGCAGATGTCAGCCCACTGGTTTGCGTCAAGCAGGTGAACATATGGTGAGTTCTCAATCCCCTGTCTCAGGTACACGAGGCTTCCCATCAAAACCTGAATGTCTAAACAAAAGCAGAAGCAGTTTGGAGGTGTGAATGTCTAAACAAAAGCAGAAGCAGTTTGGAGGTGTGAATGATCACACCTGAAACAGAGCTTGCAAGTAGTACATTGAAAAAGGCAAGAATTCCCCCAGCTGACACGGCATAAAATAACTTACAATGTCTTTTAAAATTCTGGTACTTAAGCTTGGTTTCTATTAAAGAAACAGCACAGAGAAAAAGAAGAAGAAAAGGGAAGCACTAAATACCGAACTTATAATTTATACACAGCATAGTATAACTACCATTATCTACAGAAGTAATAATAATGTCATAAATGGGGTCATCACATATCTTCGGCTGTAAAACTAGTCAGTCCCTCTACACTGACACCTGGGAGTAACTGCTGTTACCCTGTTGCACCTTCAGACCCTCTGTCGTGGCCATAACAGCAGTACGGTGGGGGGGTGCAAGTGCATACTTTACGTTTTCTCTGTCTCCTCTTAGGTTAATGTAAAATCCCCCAAAATGCAATGTCTCTCTCTGACTTTTCAATTAACAGGCTTTAATGCTTTACTTTTGTTCTAGAGCCAGCCAAGAAGCTTTTTTTAGTAAGTGATTTATCATCTACAATTGTTTCAGTTTATTAGCAAATGTATATTAGATCTAGTTAAGATAAACTTAAATTCCAGTGGGGGCCATGGTCCTGTTCCAACCATTAAAAACAGCTGACTCTAGACTCACCTTTTTGATGATTTAGGGCAAATGGCTGAAAATTTTTCGCATATTGTAATGCCTCTCGTTGATTTGTAGTTCCACCCATTAACAAGCTAATAAAATAGAGCCTGTGTAGCTTAAATTCCAAGGAGCTGTTCTGGGCTATGAGCATTTCTCGGTTTGATACCGCCCATCTAAAGAAAAAGCAAAACAGATTTTTTTTTTTCAAAAACGATTTTTGACAGTAATTAAGAGCACGAGCATGTGTGTTAAAAATGGTTTCAAACACCTAACACCAAAAAAATGGGTTTAGTCTGCCATCTTGTGGAAGTCAGTGGTAACATCAAGCCCTAGGCCCAAAGACTTTGGTAAAGAAAGTAAACAAACTACACCTAAAGATGCTCTGCAGCCAGTGAAAGAAAGAAAAAACATTAAGTTAGATGACAATTACATATTTAATAAGGTTTAACACCAAGACAAGACTGTCTGACATATTTGGAACTGTACCAGGCCACACTATGAAGCAGGTGTCAGCGATGAGATTGACTACTGACCGCCTAGATCCACTACTCTTTTCCTGTTAAACTGGCATGTTTATAAATGAAACACAAGATGCTGAAGGGGAACATCTATGTTTAAACTTTCACTGGTGAAAGATCTGGTGCTATACATGCTTTGAGATTAAAAACAGTAATCTTAAGTATTTACCCTCAAGATGCTTTCAGTCTAATCAGGCAGATAAAGCTGTGTAAATAACATATAGTGTCAACACACAGCACCAAAAAGATTTGTACAAACAGTGCTAATGAGAGAAAGAAAAACATGCAGCTTTGAATGATCCAAAGTACAGTGACGCAGGCCTCTAGAGTACAAACAGTTGGGGCTTCCCTGGTGGCGCAGTGGTTGAGAGTCCGCCTGCCGATGCAGGGGACGCGGGTTCGTGCCCCGGTCCGGGATCCCACATGCCGCAGAGCGGCTGGGCCCGTGAGCCATGGCCGCCGAGCCTGCGCGTCCGGAGCCTGTGCTCCGCAACGGGAGAGGCCACGACAGTGAGAGGCCCGCGCACCGCAAAAAATAATAATAATAATAGAGTACAAGCAGTTGGAATAACCTTGAGCTGGGACTACCAGTTAAAGGTGAGCACTAAAGCAGAAAAGCATTATCAGCCAGCTGTTAAAATCAGATTTGCAAGCAAGTGGTAAGAAGCACTGTTTCACTTCTTTAAACATATGAACAGGTAGAAGATGTTAGTATCATTCTTCTTTAATCTGATCTTTAGTTGGACAAACATTCCCCACCTAACCCAATTCACTAAGGACCCTCAGAATCTGAACTACTGGGTATGAATATAAACACTGAGTTACTCTACAAACTACAAGAGTAAAATGCTTCGAGTTATTCATAATGAATCAGTTGACTGGGATTAGATTTCATGAAGCAGCACTTTCACTGGATCCTGTCCTTCCCAAAAAGCTCTGCACATGCATATGAATATTCTAATCAACTTGTTGATATATCCACGTCTTAGAGTCAAACCATGAAGCTTCTCTGACCTCAAAATCAATGTGATTTTTAAAAATACTAATCACTTGGGCCTTGGAAATATTTGCTTACATTTATTTAAGTAAGCCTTGGATCCTTACGTGGCACTAAGATTAATGCAGTCTGGTTGCAACACCAACTCTGGTGACTTGGTGACACCAACCAGGTACCTCCAGCAGCTCTCTTTTATGAATGCCCGACACCAGCCGTCAGTACCAAAAGTACTGTGCATTTGCCCGTCTCCAGTCTGTCAGGTACCTTCCCGACTTCCAGGTCCAAGCAAGCGTATTTAAATCAGATCACTTACCAAAGTTTTTCCTACTCCCTTCTAACTCATAAAAGCATGAGTTGTTTTCCTACTACCAAGTAAAGAGAGGCAGTGAGCCTTTTCTTTTTTCAGTTTCTGAAAATGAGGTATATATCCAAGCGTTTGCAAGAGTCAAAGAAGGGAACTAACAGAGTGTAACTACAAATTTTAGTGAATGATGAAGACCAACAGAAAAGGGCAAAATCCTTAAGTGGGCAACTCACAAAGGAGGAAAAATTCTATTTTTATAGGCAAATGTTCACGATACAATGTTAAAGGGGAGGAAAAGTTGTGATATATAGGAAAAAAGTTAATTCTACTCGCCAAAATTTTTAACAGGAATGACTCTAGGAAAGTTGGATCCATGCATCAACTGCTACAGTGTGGATTATGACTCATTGGAATAGGGCACCAGCTATTAGAGCAGCACCAGGGGGCTAAAAACACCCAGGAGGACACAGCGGTGAACAGCAGCTAACAGTCCAGATGACAGTGATTTTTAAGATAGAAGAGTTTGGGCTTCCCTGGTGGCGCAGTGGTTGAGAGTCTGCCTGCCGATGCAGGGGGCACGGGTTCGTGCCCCGGTCTGCGAAGATCCCACATGCTGCGGAGCGGCTGGGCCCGTGAACCATGGCCACTGAGCCTACGCGTCCGGAGGCCCGCAACGGGAGAGGCCACAACGGTGAGAGGCCCGCATACCACAAAATAAAAAAAAGATAGGAGAGTTTTCCAAGTTTTCTATAATGAACATATATTACTTATTTTTATACTTAAGTTTTTTAGCTAAGGCAAAACTAAATTTCCTCACTTTCTTTTTTCATCAAAGAGCTAACGGTAATTGCAAATTACTTTTGTTAAAAGTAATTCAGGCTATGAATTAGAAATTCAAGCTTTTCAAGCTATAAATATATGTACCTCATTTTTAAACTTGGAGAGGCATTTAGACAATGTAATTCCTAATTTACAACTTGAATTTATTTTGACACACTTTCAAATTTTGCTATAGACAGGGCTACAAAATAATCAGGAAAAACTAGCATTGCTAATTGCTGTCCCCCTACAATATTCTTCGAAAAGTAGATACCGATTACAAAAAAGAGCTGCAGAGAGAGTGTAGGGAGAATGCAAAACCTAAATTCATAGAATACAAGTTTTCACGTGTTTCTTAAGAGTCATGTGTCTTGTCATTCTATTCTGAAACACTGTATTATCTTCATTTAGCTTCTGAATATTATACTGAGCTTAAATCTCACAAGGCAAGGGATTAGAATAAACATTTCTAAGTTTCTCCCTCTCTGGCAAAATGCCATTTTCTAAGCTAAGGATGATATACCCCATTTTTAGCCCCGCAAACATGTAAGCACATTTAAGCGTTAGGGTGAAACGCTTGCTGATGGGGCCTCTCCCTCATCCCCAGGATTGTACCCGGGCCCCCACGTTTGTATTTTCTTGACCCTAATTCCTGGGCCACAGTTAACCAGCTAGGTAAGTATAGGTTTAACACCCTGTGTTGCCTCCTAATAAGCGAGTTCATCTATTTTGATATCCTTCATGATCACTTCATGGTCCTACATCTCTAGTTGTGTAAGCTCTTGATGGGGTTGTCTCTCTGGACAATCATCTAACACTGGCCTTACCTAATCTTTGGAATCTGGGTACGAATTTCACAGCAGCTTTCTTATCCATGCTAGCAGCCTCCCTAGACAGTTTAACATTAGTCTATTCATGATGATTTCTGAAATGCTGAAACCATCCTTTACTGGCAGTAGATTCCTTCCTCAATCTCCTTTTATAACTGTTTTCTTTCAATGAGGCAACTAATAACTTAAGCACTTTGGTCTGAATGTTAGCCAAACTGACGGGAGGTGTTTTGGTTTGTTTTGTTTGTTTTTACAAACAAAGTAGAAGTAAACGTTCCATCATTTAAACCACAAGCAGCTTTCTGTTCCCAGTGCGATTTAAATTAAAAGGTGTTGAAGCGACTTTAACCTTGGTTTTTACATTCATAGGACTTTTCAATGTGCAGGGTACCGTAGCTTCGTGTAGGCCTAGGTCTCGTCCTAGCTTCACTTTGCTGTCGTCGTTTTCAAATCTTCCTCAATGCATTCAGTTTCACTTCTAGCAATTCATCTTTGTTGACCAAGTCCCTCTTTCAGTGATCCATTTCTGTAATGTGTCATGTGGGCTTATCAGCAGAGGCAAGGAAGCAATACAACCACACACTTGCTGTCTGAGGGTGAAATGAATTGCACTGTGACCAATCACCAACAGACTGAAAAAGCAGTGAGGTGACTAGTTGTGATCACGATGCACGTGTGTTATTACGTAGTGACCTGTGGACTGAAGGGCTGGCAGAGAAGTTTTTATTTTATGCAATTACAATACTTCATGGTGACTGAAATCTGAACCGTGTTGTTGGGGAATTGGTGTTATTTAACTAAACTGCGGTAAATGAAATTTGGGCACACTGGAATCGTGCAGAGAGAAATGCCCATCGGTTCAACAGAGAAAAGAAATAAGAGAGGAAAAACATAAGGATCTCAGAGGCAGGAGGTTACTTTATAAAGGCAAAGGCAGCCCAGAGTGATACAATGGAGAGAGAAGCTTGGGAACTGGGCCTGTCATCACCGAGATCTCTGCCCCTCCACTCTTCCTTCTAAGAGGGAAGGCTGGAAAACCAAGAGGTTGATGCCGACAGGCAGCACAGGGAAGGTGAAGAACACGGTGGCTGGCCAACAGGGTAAATTAGAGGCATCTGTCATGTGGTATCAAGAATTAAAGGAGGAAAATAAGCGGCCTCTTGAGAACAGAATGGAGGCAGAGAGAGGTGCAGGCCAAGAAAAACATGCAAACAGATTCAGACAACCTGATGTAGCAATATGCACCACCATCAACAGGGATGTGTCCAGGTGAATGAAAGCTGGTCCAGATAGAAGACTTGTTCCTTGTATGAAATTAGAAGCCATGGTCCTATCTCCCAGTGCAGGTGCTAGTTACATTTTTACAAAAGTACAATCAAACAAATTGAGTAGCTGAGAACGGAATTGAAAAATTCAAGGCCCAGGCTCAATGACCATATTTTCTACAAGCTCCCCACTCATCTCTCCATCCACAGAACTCGAGAGGTTCTTTATTTGAACCTCTCCCAGCTCTTCACACACCATCTACTTGGTAGGACAGTTTCTGGCCTCTTAGAGCAGGGGCTCTGCCTTGCTCAGCTCGGTGCCCCTTCTACTCTGCATGGGGTACAGTGATAGAGGGCACAGGTTAATAGAGCCAAACATGCATGAACCTTTAAATCCTGGCTCTGTGGTGTGAATCGGGGCAGTCTGTCACTTAATGCTC